TGTAAAATTTATAGGGAAATTTTAAACATATTAATTGGACTATGTCTGTAATATTTTTAAAAACGTAAGGGAAATGTAATGTTTGAGTTATCTCCCTTGTTAACTATACCTCCATAAATAGAAGCAACAACAACAAAAGTAAAAAAAAAAAAAAAAACACACACCACTACTTCTGAAGATGCTAAAACAGTAACTTGATAAATCCTAGAGTTTTGAGATATTAATAGGATTTAAAGATATATTTGCACTATTAATCTGCAGGATAATTTACATGGAAAAATCTGTTATCATTGAATAAATACTTTAAGCAGAATTATAAAAACAAAAACTGTGAAATTATATCTTGTCCCAAATTGAAGTGTTAAGCTTTGAGTACTTGGGAAGTTGTTTTTAATTAAATAAGAAAGAAACCAAAAAAAAAACTGGATTACAAGACTGCACCCAAAGTAATGCTGACACTTTATACTCACAGGAACTGCTCTGCTTTCTATTCTACCTTGACTGAAATAAAATATCTAAGGAAATTTCAGATTGAATTCCTTACTTAAGCTTGACAGTATAAAAGTAGGGGATGAGGTTACTAAAAAAAATTCTATAACATGTTTGAACTTTTCTTTCACAGCTTTCTACATACCTTTCTTTTATACCCATTAAGTGAATAACAAGGTAAAAGAGTGTAAATGGAACCTGATAATTAAAAAATAATTCCTAATGATTTTTTTATATAATTTTATTGAACTTAAACATTATCATCAAATTGATAACCTGAATTTTGTACTTTCAGCTGCCAACAAAATGAACAAATAATCTTTTAACCTTCATGCCTGCCAAAAAAAAAAAAAACCCCAAAAAACTGGAGTGTTAAAAGGATGGTTTTCCCTTGACACCACTATTATTTTAACTACCTTCACTCCTCAACAATATTTATTATTTTAAAAAGCTATGATTAGAAATGTAATAAAATTTAAACATGATGAAAGTGAAATTATACATTTTTCTTCTTGAGAGTTTAAAACAAAAACTTACAATAAATATGTATTTATTAGATTGTTTTATTACAAGAATAATTTTGTATTTACAACTGTATTAAAACTAATGCAATATAATAATTATTATTTACTAATTTACAAAGAAGTAGATATGAAAAAAAAATTTTTTTTCATAAATTTATAAACATATGTGAAATTATTAAAATATCCAAACCAACTATAAGGAAATTCTTATTTACTATTTTATAAAGTTCAAATCACTTAGCATTTAATTGATGTTTTGACAACCAATGCAATAAACAATATAATAGTGTTTATTATTTTTGTTGTCAATTCAATAATTGTCCTTTTCATACTGTTTTTATTTTTTTCATGCACGAAGGTTAAACATTTCTGAATGTTTAGTTAGTTTTTGTTAATTAACTGAAGGAAGTGTATTTTTTTTTCTTTTTTACTGAACATAAAAATTCCTTGCATACATTTAATACTGAACAAGATGTTCATTCAAGAAATATTGAAAAGACAATCAAAATTAGATTAACAATGAATATATAATGTAAATGTTTCAGTGAATAATCTCTTGAACTCACAAATGATCATGGGTAAAGTAATATTAATATTTCTTCTTTCTCCTTTATTGATAATTTAGTCTTAATTACTTTTAATTAAATCTTTTTTTATTCTGCCTTATTTTGTTTCTATTAATGCATGCAATTATTATATATAATTTCTATCTTGAGATATAACTCTTTGTCATATATATATATATATATATATATATATATAATTTATTTGTGTATATGTGTATCTATGAAGGGAGGGAGAGAATTTGAAAAAATAGATTTATGTTAATATGAAGATATGACTTTTAAAAATGAAACTTCAAGTTATGTGACCTAGGCAATAATGAACTTGATGAGCTTTTGTTATCAATGTTTTTCTTCCTTATAATCAAAATAATCAATATTCTCAAGAATAGATGTATAGATCTGGATCCATAATGTTTTCAAAATATGTATTTTTTCCTCACTAATACCCATATAATTTGCACTTGTAAATTAGGAAATTAAAGAGAATAGCATACTTACTTTGTAAAATGGTTCCACTGATTTAAATTGAACAAAAGTGGAAAAGTTTTTTTTTCTACTTTTACAAAATTTAATGAACTCATACTTACAAATATAGAATATGTATACTTTTGGATAATTTAATTTTAGTACACCCAACCCTCTCTCTCTTTCACACACGGAGACACACACATATATATATATATATATATATATATATATAGTCATCATGTTTCACTGTATCGCGGCTCATCAGTGTGGCTAGACATCCAACTGCTTCAAGTCAGGATCGAAACTCAACCGATTTGACATCAGTCAGATATCCTATCCATAAGCTATCAATGCATGGCAGAGATAGATATATATATATAAACACAGATGCGCCTGAGTAAGCATCTGCAACAAGGATTTGCTAGCTACCTGAGTAAAAAGGTAGCCAGCCAGCCATACATATATATATTTTTTTTTACTCAGGTGGCTAGCAAATCCTTGTTGCAGATGCTTACTCAGGCACATCTGTGTTTTTGTTTTTTTTTTCAACATCTACATAGCCCAACTCTAGTTTATACTGCAACTATGTTGAGCAGACCTTAGAGTTTCTGGGAGAGACTGCATTATCTGGCATAATCAACAGTTTGAACAAGGCTGATACACTCAAACCCTCAGTCATGATGACTTGTGACTTTGTGCTCATACAACCATCAATGGCTCCCACAGAGTTCTGTCTACTCAGTTTCACTCACAAAACATTGGTCATCCTGTGGCATGTTTTTCAGGCACTTTTCAAAGGTTCTGCATGCTGGGATTGCCTCCCTGAGCTGATAACATCGAGAAATCACCTTCCTGATAAATCAACCATGAGACTCAAACCAGGGTCTCATAGACGGAACACTCCCATTATATATATATTTTTACTCTGGCATGAATATTTTATGAATGCAAAGAAACAGATTTTTTGATTATTTTGTTAGAAACAAAGAAAAGAGTACTGAACTGTTATGTAATATCAGTTTTCTTATATGGCAGAAAGATGCTGAGAAAATGGAAACAAAAAGGACATTCAGGAAGAGATAGCTGAACAAATTATAGGAGAGATAACAAAAGGACAAAGTTTATTAAGAGTTGTATAGGATAGAAAATTGTGAAAAGTCATGATTGCCAACCTCCTGAAGAGACAGGACCCTAATTTACAGGCATAGCCATGTTTAAAAAAGATGATTTTTTTTTTTTTTTTTTTTTTTTTTTTTTAAATAAGTCTCAATATGATATTATAATGTTAAAGTCAGTCTGTAGTTTAAGCACTAAAAAAATTTCATTAATATCTTAATAGGTCTGTTAACTTTAAATGTTAAATGAGTTTCATACTGAACCAACTTGTAACATAATTTCAATGAAAAATATAACAAAAACAATTATCTTTTCAGGTTGCTCAGAATTAAAATCAAAAAAAGAAAAATGGTTTCTCTTAAAACTAATTATGACAATGGTAATATTAGCTGTTTTCTTATAAAGAAACATTTGGCAATCAATAGACAAACAAACAGTGCTATTTTCAGTTGAAATTTATAAAATTTTTCTATTAACAGATTCTTCAGGAAAATAACTTTCTCAAGTCCAGTAACTGTTACTGCTCTTTCCAGTCTAGCAGTTTAGCTCTTATTTGAAAAACTATTAGAAAAGTATTAACTTGATTAATTTTAGTCTCTATACAGTAAATTAATAAAAGCAAGCTAAATTCTTGAACAGAGAATTTCATATGATTATGTTCGAGGTTAAGTGGAAATTAGTTTTTTAATTAGAAAAAAATTAAAAAGATCATATTCGAGAGAAATAATATAGCTTATGTGAATACAGATAATATTGTTTTGTGCATAGATATTAGTTGAACATTTAAGAAATATTGGCAGGAACACTTTGAAAATTTTATTATGAATGGAAACTATTTCTGAAGTTGTTTTTATTTTATTATTATTGAAAAGACTTTCAATTAAGTGATTTGAACAAAGGAATGCAAAGCATAGATTCATTTAATAAAATCCATAATCAGAAAAAAAATATCCACCAGTTTGCAGAACTCATCTCAACTCTTAGAAAATAAGAGCGAAATTTTTATCTAATTAAAGACAGGGCGTTGACTACAGGATGCCAAACTTTATTAATAAGCAGATATATATCTAATACATTTTTTCTTCCTAATTTTTGTCTTGATTATAATTTTGAATAGGATTAAATTGTGGATCAGAAATAAAAGACAACCGTAGAACTCTTGAAGAATAATCTTAATGACATTCCAACATGACTAAAGTAATTTTTTTGTTTCTCTTATTTTCATATCAAAAATTTCTTATGATTTTATCGTCATTTTCAAAAGAATCTCATTGATCCATTTAATTCATTTGATCTCAACTTTATAATTTCTTTCTTGTGTTTCTATTGAAAAGAAATGTTCAAAGTGTATATTGCTAGTCAACATTACTGAATGAGAACAAGGCCTGTAATTTCAACATTATTGTAACATTGACATATGTGATTCAAATAGCTGTAATTTTCCTTAAAATTCGAAATTTATTTTGAACTCGCTTTCCTTGTGTTTTTCTTCTTACCTAAGATGAGGAATGAATCTTGATCCAGGAATGAATCACTGTGCAATTATAGATCAATGTCAAAGAATCTTTGATATCGGCATATTTACAAGTGCTAATTTTTAGAAATTTTTGTAAATAATATAATTAAAGAGAATTAATGAAAAAGTATCACAATTTTTTTGTTTTAGAATGCCATGAACTATTATCAAGCTAAAAATTATGAATATTTTTTTTTTTTTTTGCCAATGACCTCAACTTGGAAATTAACAGGACACCTTTTCTCTTTTCCACCAATCATTTCAAGAAAGATAATACTACTATTAATCAAAGTAGTTAAATGAAGACAAAGAAAAACTTACTTCGAACAAATGCATAATCCGCTTGGAATCCTGTAACAGTATGAGAATATGTAAGACTTCTGAAGGTTACAGTCATTCTTTGTTCATTTGACATGTACATTGGTGGCAGTTTCCGGCCACATTTCGTATCCAAGTCCGTTGCTTCTCCATCAATGTAAATTGTTATCGTGACAGAATCTGCTGCTTGACAACTGAAAGAAAAAAAAAATGATAAAGTTAGGATCAGTGCTTCTAGATCTGAGAGGTTTGAGTAGAAAATAGAAGCAACATTTCAAAAGTAGAGTTTGTTTTCATTGGTATCACCCCCAAGCATGGCAGTAAAGCCACTAAGACACAAGGGGATACAGGATGTGAAAGAATTATGAACAGAAACATTAATAATGAGTTGGAAGAGAAATGTGTAATCAAGAGGACAGTAGATAGTGATTGACATTGCATTTAAATTTTTTCAGATAAAAGTTTGCTGGAAAGCATCAAGCCAGATAGGAGTTCCACTTGTGAGAAGTGCAAGAAAAGAAACTGTTAGCATGGAACATGAGGCTACATCTAGCCAGCTGAACTGTAAATTGATGAGATATTAATGCCAGTCTTAACGTAATGCCAGTCTGCACTTAAATTAAGAAAACCTGGATACCATAGCAAAGAACTCAACCAAAAAATCAGCATGAAAGTATTTGGCTACAGTTCAAAGCTAAGCTAAAGAAAACTTTATTTTAAACCAGTGAGAAGGTTGCTTTCTCTTTGCAATCTCACAGTCAAGCTACAAAGTATACATATGGATAACTAAGACCAATTTATATATTTGGGAGCTGAATCCACATGTTACCTAGCCATGTGTTAAACTAAGCTAAACACCCAAATCCAATTTCTTTGACCAGAACTGATAGGGACAGGCCAACAAAGTGCTGATAATTAGCCCCATCTCAGCCAACCCTAGCTTCTATTGATTGTATTTAGCAAAAACTTTTTATATGTGAGAAAAATAACAAAGAGAGAATTTAATTATCTTAATATTATTAGTTCATTTCTGATTTCAGCACTTGACAGAAGGCAACTGAAAACTGAATGAAAAGGTGAATGGCCAATGAAAGAATCTCTGCTTCAATTTTCTTTTTAGCATTGGATGTCTTTTCTGGCTCTATGCCATTACCATTCTTTTTAATTTGTCTTCACCTTTTCTCCCATCTCCTCACCACCACCATCTCTCTCTCTTTCCTTGACAGTATTTCATGCTTAGTTTCTTTCATCAAAGATTCTTCAGCTCTCTGGCCAATTACTATTGATTTTATGAGTGAGTGTAAATGGAAAGCAACAGCTTTTCATTCCATCAGCCAAATAAAATGACACCATAAAAAATTAAGATGATTAAATTGATTATTATTATTATTATTAATAGTAATAAGAGGGGAGAAGAATGAAAGTTATTGCATGTGAATACTTATTTTTACAACAGTATGTTCCACTGTCAAAGTAATAAAGTTAAAACAATAGTTGAAATTCAGCAATAAATAACTTATTTCTATTGAAAAATATATCGATTCTCGATCAGAAAGACATACATACATACACACACACATATATATATATATATATATATATATATATATACACACACACACATTTTTTATTATATTAAGGAAGTCATTTGTGTGTATAGAAGTGGAAGATAATGCTTAACCCTAGCCTTGAACATATTAAGATTGTAGTGATCAGGGAAACATTCTGTTGGGAATCGATTCCACTGGACAGTGGTTTGCTACTAGGTAAATGGCATGGAAAGTTCTTGCCATGAAAGTTTACTTGGTGGAGTGGGACCAGGGAATGTAGTTTGTCCAAGCACTTTCCATGGAAGTAGTGGTATAGCAGTAAGAGCTTTGCCACATTCCACCATTGGATGATGAAGAATAATTCATTACCCACAAGGACTTGGAGACACTTTTGAACTGCATCAAAATTGGAGAGTGAGGTCTGTGCAGCTCCTGCCCAAATATGACAACAGTACTCTATTGTTGGCCTGATCTTCCTCTTGTAAAGTTAGAGGATAAGAAGAAGAATCAGGTACTTACTGGACTGGTACAGGGAGCCAACCATTTTACCTGCATCCTTACCAATGGATCATATATAAGAGTTCCACGAGGTTGGGTGTGGGTTTGAAGCCCAACTCTCTTTCAAGACATGGTGCTTCCCCAAGAGGACTTCCGTTTATCCTGACTAGCAATAGTTCAGTGTCAGATCAGCAAGGATGGAATGTAATTAGTTTGGTCTTTGAGACATCGAATGTAAGCAGCCAGTTTTTACTACATTGGGTAGTTTATGCAAGATCAGCAGAGAGATCAGTCACCAATCACTGACCATCAAGAGTTTTCGAGGTATGCTCATATATAGTCATATCATCAGCATAGATGTTTACAAATGATCCAAGTATATTCTTAGGCAGATCATTTATGTAGATCAAAAAGAGGGTTGATCCGAGGACTAACCCCTGATGGATGCCTGAATGTATAATATACACATACTGATTGAGTAATGTGTGCATATATATATATATATATATATATATATATATATATATATTGTTTGTGTTACCTTTATAGAATTAAGTGAATTTAGTGTTTGATTAGACAACCCTGTTTTTTTTTTTTTTTAAACAGTGCAATTAATATAACAACACACATCTTTTGATCTCTAGGCCAGTAGATGTTAATTTTCACTATTTAAAAAGAAAAAGAGGGATATCTACTCAATTGTACCCATTACATATAATACTGATAGTAATAAAGAATAATGTCAGATTAAACATTTATTCATTCCTATATCTGCATTGAAAGGAAAAGGAAAATGGTCACTTCCAGTCAGAAAAGGATTCATGAAAACCATACTGGTTCATTTAGAAAGATTAATGTTCGAGATTTTACAGATACATATACTGTTTTGTTATTTAGAATTTTATAACCATCTTTTCTTCTTCTCCAGACCTTCTACTCATAATTATCACTCAAAAATGGTTTCCTTTTGTTCCTTCCAATAGAATAGCTAATTATTTAAATATTCAATTTTTCTTGATGTTTAAATCAACAGAAAAAAAAGGAGAAAATGAATTTATCTTCTTGAAAGGTGTAAACAACCTTCAAATGACAGTTTGAGAGCAAAAGGTCTGGAGAGGTTTGTTTTAAGATTCTAAACAAGACAATGTTTGTGTGAAATTCACCTTGAAATACTTCAAGATGAACATCATAGACTTTAAATGAACCAGTGCAGTTCTTCATAAACCATTTTCTCCCAATAGAAAAACATTTTTTTAATTTTTTTTTTTCACTGAGTATATTTCAGTTTTTATCACATTATTTAAACAAAACTATTTCTTTTATAAGAATTTTTTTTTCTCAGGAAAATCAGAACAAAAAATGTCTTTCTTTCAAAGTGCAAAGATTTGCCAAAGCTTAAAGAATTGTTTTTTTTTTTTTCTTTTTGTTATGTCAGTTTTCACAAGTATTTTTCTTAATACGTTTATATAGGTATTCTTTCGTCTTCCCCTTTTTACTCTCCACTTACACATTCAGTCTAGATCACAATATTAGATGTCACTTTAAAATACATCCTGAAATAAAATCAATATATTCCATTATTTCTTGATTCTGTCTCCACCAAAAAATAAATAAATGAATATAGATTTTCAAAAATGAATGAAGACATGTATGAATGCATGCAAGCTATTGCATGCATGCATAAATACATATGGATCACAATTCATTTTATTTATTTATATATTATATATATATATATATATATATATATATATATATATATATATATATATATGAATATCTATTATATATGTGTGCTTGTGTAGGTTAAAACAACTACATGCAGCTTCTGTTTTCATTTAAACTCAGAAAAATAGAAAATTATGTGATAGGTTGCTGAAATCTTTAGGCATGACCAGGAGGGGATACCAAAATAAATTCTTGTATTTGGATAGTAGGTCAGGCTGAAATCATCAACAAGTACATTTATTAGTAATCAAAATGTCATTAGGAAGAGACAGTTGAAATTACTTGGACTCATAATGAGGAAAGAGGGCTTGAAAATTTTGATACTCACAGGGCAACTTGAAAGTAAGAGAAACAGGGAAGCAAGACACTTGCATGAATGGATAAGAAGGGCAGGGTTTGGGAGAGATGTCAAAATGCCAAAAGTTATTAAGAGCTATAAAGAATAGGAAATTGTGGAGAGTCATGATTATCAACATCCTGAAAGGATATGGCACAGTTAATAAGTTTTTGAAAATTTATAATTATTGAATAATAAAATATGAATATGATCTATTTTCATATTCATAGGTACTGAGTGTATATATCGTATTTACTATGTGCATGCATGCATATATATATATATGAGTTAGCTGAAAAGTTCATCGGCTGACTAAGATATAAATATAAGCAGACACATTAGTTGATAGACTAAAAGACATTGAAGTGTACCAGAATACAATAGTCGGCCAACCATAAACATATTTTTGGGTTGTAAGTGTTTTTTGAGATAAAAATTTTCCATACTAATTTTCAAATTTCAGCTAATAAATTTGTGGCAAAGCTGTAACTTATTGAGGCGCCTTACACACACACACACACACACACACACACACACATCATGAATTTGTCTTATATAGTTGCACTGTGTAAGGAGCCATCTGATTTGACTGAGATTGTCCATACAGCAAAAATACACTTCAAAATGGCATACAAGTTACAACTGATAATAGTAGATGACAGGTGAATAACTTAATTTACGTGAATGCAAGTACACATGCACAATCTGCAATGTTATTGGTCTTGACCTGGCATTTCAGATTCAGCCACTGCTATAATGTAGCTTCCCTGTGCATTTTTCTAGAAATACTTTTATGGCAGTTGTTCTGAGGAGCTTTCCTCTATGTTAGAATTGTGGGGAGGTGTTGTTACTAACACTATTTTTTTAGTTTCTTATACATAAATTGTATTCTTTGTAAATATTCACCGTGGTTTCATTTTTAAATGTTATTTTATTCTCCACCCCCCAAAACAGACAAATTGTATATATGGGAACTAGTTAGGACTATATAGAAACTTTGAGGTATTATGGTGTTTGTAGAAAAATGGTAAGTAAGAATGTGTTGTTTTGGTGTAAGGAATACTGTGGTATGTTTGGGTCA